TTAACTCCAAATCTGGCTTTGGAGAGCCGACTTTGAATTCTAGAGCTGGCTTTGCAGCCTTCCTGCACATTCTGTTTTTCTTAAAAACTGACCATAAAAACGTAAAGCCGACTTTGAAAGTCTGACTTTAAAAAGATTAAAAAATCTTTAAATAACTTGACCGTTGTGCATTAAATGCATTTTCATAGTTGGCTATAAAGTTAAAATCGGCTTTGCGTCCATTTTCTGTGCATGCCAACTTGTGGTCTTGAATTTTTTTTCCCGTAGAGTAGACTGCAGCTGTAAGGATGGCTCTTTGCACTTGCCTTCACTAGAATCGACTGTGGATTTCTAAAGCTGACTCTTTGCACATTTTTTCGTCTTTTTGCTCCTATTTTTAGTGCAATCCAAGTTTATTTAATTTTGTAATTTTTTAAAAACTCACCTATACACTTAAATGAACAAATTAGTTACTCAAATATGTTTTGTAATCATTAAAATTATAATTACAATACTATTCAATGCATCTAATAGTACCTAGGAGTGTTTAATTGATCTGGTTGGTACAAACCGCATTGAATTTTTACATAAAGGCTAATGCAAGTAGAATGACACTACCTAGAGTGTAAGTGATGCCTAGGCCTGCTTTTTACAACACTGATGAATACTTAATTAAAGTCATCTTAAAAGAAGGTTTAGATTACTTTTTAATTTTATTTTTTTAATTAGTGATGTAAGGAGAAGTAATTATCTTTTATCCTTTATCTTACTTATCTACATGTCATGAGAATTAAATTTAATATTTTTTACTTTTAACAAAAAAAATTACTATTAATTTATTTAGGCGTGGACTCTTTTTAATTTCTATGATAATATATTTTTTATAGTATTTTCAATTACCTTACTAATAATGATAAGTTACTCATTATAATTAGTCAGGGATTTTAATTCAAATTTAAATTCATACAATTTCTTTTCGGTACGTTTCAAAGACAAAAAACTTCGTTGTCATTATAAATGCTCTACATAAAAAAAAAAAAATCTTTATTTTTTTATTATTTTTCCCCGTTCCCACATTGTCCTATTGTTAAAAAATAAAAAATAAAATGAATCATTTAGTAGTACAAAAATTTATTGGTTTATTTATTTATTTATTTTTTGACAAAAATAATAATTAAGAAATTAATTTTATTAATTATTAACAATTAAAAATTCAACCTTGAACATTTCACGTCTCTCTGAGGCGCTGACCATCGGTCGCTTGGT